CATCAAAGAAAGAGTTTGTCCGGGCTTTATCTACTACACTACTAGTCACTGGAACTTCATACTTGGGGTTTGGGTTCATCTCAGTGAGGCAGTGTGTCATGTATCAAAAGTAGGTCACTCTGACCTACATCAAAGAAAGAGTTTGTCCGGGCTCTATCTACTACACTTCTAGTCACTAGAACTTCATACTTGGGGTTTGGGTTCATCTTGGTGAGGCAGTGTGTCATGTATCAAAAGTAGGTCACTCTGACCTACATCAAAGAAAGAGTTTGTCCGGGCTCTATCTACTACACTACTAGTCACTAGAACTTCATACTTGGGGTATGGGTTCACCTTGGTGAGGCGGTGTTCCGTATATATCAAAGTAGCACTCTGTTTTGACCAGGTCACCGACACTATTCCTTATTGAATACAGTGGATCTGTCAAACATTCGTATATAGAATTAGTTCCTGCACAAATTTATCATCTTCACATTTCACATTTGGTAGGGGACTATAATTTGCCGAATTAGCCCTCCACCACTGGATCACAGGTTCGATGCCTGCGTTGGGCAGTCGCCAGGTACTGGCTGTAGGTCTAGGGTTTTCTCTGGGAACCCTGGCTTTCCTCCACCACAAAAACCATGCATGTCCTTAAATGACCATAGTTGTTAATAGGACTTAAAACACAAACAAACTCTCAAACTGCTGAGCAGATCCTTATGTAAAAACCCAAGCCTCTAAAAGGATATTCAGACTAAACAAGTCAATTAGGAGCAAACAGGTTTTCAGCTTCAGAACTAAATGACATCTAGGATTCTAAGTTTGGGGTTGGGGTGGATGCTGCATATAGTGCCTACAGGACTAGGGGAGAAACAGCATTCACTTTGTTTGGTAAAAGTTATCCTTATTTGGAACGTTTTATATATTTTAGATCAAATGAGAATTAACAGACAGGACATGGAGACACTCCACGAACGACAGAACCCAAAGCGAATGGACATCCAGGACCAGGAAACACAGGAGTTAGTATTTACTGTATACAATATTCTCTTTATCAGAGTTGTCATTGTCATATTGGAATCTTGATTAACATTTTCAGTTTTTTGGTCACCTGAGACAAAGTCTCAAGTGACCTATTGCGATCGCCTTTTGTCCGTCGTCGTCCGTCGTCGTCCGTCGTGCGTCCGTAAACAATTTACATAACCCCTGAACCAATTTCAATGAAATTTTGCAGGGACCTTCCATGGACAAAGGACAACAAAATTAGTGGCCGGTTTAGTCCCAAGCCCCCAGGGGCCTCAGGGGCGGGGCCAAAAAGGGTCAAATTGACTAACATTTCAAAAATCTTCTTCTCAAGACCCAGGTATGGTAGAATCAAATACTCTTCATATATGGAAGGGTCTTAAGGTGCTTTACTAAAATTGTGAATTTCTCACGTTTCCCCTTGGGGAGGGGGGTAAACTTTACTATAGTTTATATAGGGAAATCACATTTTGGACCAACGTTTGTTTAATTTCCATTGGAAGTAATTCAGTTTGGGTTAGCATTATCAGTATTAGGTAGCAGTTTGATAGAATGTACATATGAGCCCTGACTGACCCCCAGGGGCTGATGAGTGGGGCAAAAAAGGGTTGAATTGACTGAAATTTCAAAAACCTTCTTCTCAAGACCCAGATATGGTAGAATCAAATGCTCTTCATAGATGGAAGGGTCTTAAGGTGCTTTACAGAAATTGTGAATTTCTTGACCCTGGGGTCTCATGTTTCCCCCTGGGGAGGGGGTAAACTTTACTATAGTTTATATAGGGAAATCACATTTTGGACCAACGTTTGTTTAATTTCCATTGGAAGTAATTCAGTTTGGGTTAGCATTATCAGTATTAGGTAGCAGTTTGATAATAAGCACATATGAGCCCTGACTGACCCCTAGGGGCTGATGAGTAGGGCCAAAAAGGGTCGAATTTACTGAAATTTCAAAAATCTTCTCAAGTCCCAGATATGGTAGAATCAAATACTCTTCATAGATGGAAGGGTCTTAAGGTTTATGACCCTAGGATCTCACGTTTACCCCCTGGGGAAGGAGGGGCAAAATTTGTTATGGTTTATAATGGCAAAAGATACTTTGAATATTACATGTTAATAACTTGATTTGAATTATAACCTTGAGTTGACAGTTTGATACTTTGAAAATTTTGAGCCAGCCCTACCCCCAAGGGCTGTAGGGTGGGACTCAAAGGAGTCAGTGTGCTAAAATTTCTTCATTTTCCTTGTTTAGAATCAGAGGTGCTAGTTTCAAATACTTTCTAGTCTGAAATCTGTATGCTAGATATTGAATGAGGTGGTTTTATTGTTTTTTGTCACTTTGAATAATATTTCTGTTCATGTTAAAAACAAAATCAACTCTCTGTATAAATATATCAGGTGACCGTTAAGGCCCATGGGCCTCTTGTTGATTCATATTTTTTAAGGATAATTGCGTGAATCCATTGATATCACAGATGACTAGTACTAAATGACTTTTTTGAAATTAAACATATATATAAATGTAGATATTTTGAGATTACCTGCATTAGATGTTAAAGAAAAAGCTGACCTTCACTCTCTCTCACATTTAGTACTAGACCTTGGTACTTTAGCCTAAGCTTGACCTCTATCAAGTGCTGAAGATTTGATCAAAAGGTACATATTGACTGATTTCCTTTAAACATCCTATAACCAAAATGTGTTGATTATATCCAATCTTATGGGAAACCAAATATTTACCAAAAAAGGGGCTGGATCTTGTATCTTCTGGCAGCTAATTAGCAGTGGGGTCAATAGGGGTCAATTTGGAAGACTCACTTTAAATGATATCTTCTTCAACAGGAAGAAGGTTTATGATGAGTTTTGATATTGCATTTTATATTATTGCCAGGTTTCAGTGCTGACTTGTACCATTGTCAGCAATGTATGAGTTAACTATCTAGTTAGTGGTATAAACTGGGAACACTCTTACGAATCAGGGGTGTTTGATTGGTCCAGTTGTACATGTTAACTTGAAATTAATACATCGCCTACATTAAGTAGACTGTTAAAAAGGCCCAACCCTTACAAAACATCAGTTTTTTCCACATAAAGTCATGGAAAATGTTGCCTAGATCAGTGTTCTCGACACCTTTGTGCCGACCTGTCACCTGGTTGAGCCTTACCTGTGCCGTGACCTACTGTGCCTTCGGCTATATGTTTGTACTCTTTGTTTCCTTGTATTGTTTACTATCTCATGTTGAATGCATTGCTGGTTACATGTTAGACTACAGTGGTCTTAAAAACAACATACATGCCATTAAAGGACCATATGTCATACATCTAGGCCCAGTTTCTAAAAGCCTTGCCTTGATTGGCTTAATGAAGAAGCAGAACTCCAGTCTATCATATTTTCACATCCCAAAAATGATGAAAGTTTTAAATAAAACTACATGTGTAGGGATTCAATATGATCTAGAAGACAAAATTTTAAGATATGTTAGTTTTCCTTTTTTTTCTCTCAAAAATTTGTTGTTTGAAAACTTTCAATTATGAACTGCAAGCTGGCCAGTCTTCTAGCAAATGTCCAGGTGTCAGGTAAAAAACCCACCAGTAATGTTGTAAGACATTGAGTTGATATTATCATAAATTATAAGAAAACACTTATATAGTGTCAGGAAACTCATGAGTATGTATGAAATCCAATTAATGCACTCCATGCCACATAAAAAATGGGGGAAAAATCCCTTTAATCCTTGTATTGTCAGAATTATCCTTGTATAGAAATAAATCAAATTATAGAACCATGTCTCTCATTAGCACCTCTCAGTACTGAAACGAAATTCTCAAACAGTATTGTAAAGTTTATTCAATAAATAAGAACAGCATGCACCAGAATTAGTTGAACCTCTTAGTTACACAAACAGTATTGTAAAGTTTATTCAATAAAAAAGAACAGCATGCACCAGAATTAGTTGAACCTCTTAGTTACACGTTCAAACTATATTATAGTTCATATTTTACTTTTTCAGTCTGTTTGAAGACCTGGACAAGAATCTCCAGAAGATCACAATAGTGCGTAATACCTTACAAGCAGTTATTGTTGGCAGTGGCATCAACTGGGCACAAGACCCAGCCATGCAAGAACTTGTTCTAGAAATGGGCAAAAAACTGGAATTGTGACACCATTTTTAACACAAGACACCAAACATGGGCATGTAGGAATTATCTGAAATGCTGGATTTGTGATGATATTTGTACAGGAACAATTTTAACTGCTTCAAGGTTACTCTTTTAAGCATGTTATAAGGAAAGTAATCAAACCCCAAACACTCAATCTTAGTTGTGTGGATCTCTACCTTATTCACCCATTCACCCCTGAAATTTCATAATGAACTAATCCAACCTTTGATTTGGAAGACTTCAAATGTGTCGTCAGGGGTGAATGAGTTAAAGTCAGTTTCAGGAGACCTTTTTCTTTGTACAGAATATGCAAATGTTATCTGAAGAAAGTCAGGGTTGCATATCTTGTAAAAACAAGTACTACACTTTAAGTATACCCTAATGAAAGAAAACATGGCTATGCCTTATGTGTTCATTAATAAATACAGTAGAGTGGTTTCCTTTATCTGTAAGTTAACTGGTACCTTATAGTAATACCAATGTATGTGTATTAGCCAAGTCTACACAAGACTAGAGTTCGTTAAAGATATTCTGATTTTTTTTTTCATTGTGGAACTCTTCGGAAACAAGATACATGACTAAGTATTGTGACATATATCCTGAAGTAGAGAACACTACGACTGCAGTCTTTTCTCTCCTAAGGGAGTGTTACTTGGAAGAGAATAGATTGAGTTCATAGAAGGTACCATAATCAAATAGCAATTTTAGTAATTTTCACTTCATGATGAACCTTGTCTTTCATCTAACAGCACAATGATAAGCCATGAAAGCCGACCACAGGGGCACGCAACTACTATTAATATTGATATTGTTAAACTTTCAGTCGCTGGGTATGTTATGTATTGGGATATAGCGTACCCAGCGACTGAAAGTCAAACAAGATCAACATTAGTAGTAGTTGGGTGCCCCTGTGAGCTGACCAGCCTAGACCTTGTATAAAAACAAATACAGCACTCTGCCCATTTAAAATATCTGCATTATCAGAGGATGTCATGTATTAGCCTCAAAGATCTTCCAAAAAAAATCGGAAGTAATTTTTGTCAATTGTGTGGTTAGAAGAGACTTCTGGAAGTAGACTTTATTAATTGGTGTTGTTTTCGGATAATTTAGTTATATGTTCTTGTCTTTGTTTGATCCATTTGTTATGTATTATGTAAATATGTACATATATGTAATGACAGGTTACTTCCTCATTAAGTAATTAATAAAATGTTGATATATTGCTTTAATATTGGATGAGTTTTCAATCATTTTACAATACATTGATACATGATGTCAGAAAATAACAGGAAGAAATATGTAGTCTAAATTTTCTTTTGTTTTATCTTTAGTTTAATTATCATATTTCATAGCTAGCTTGATGGATTTCAACCCTAGAAAATTAGGGGGGGGATGTGTTGATTCCATTGTTTCGAAAATTTAAATTTAAAAGAAATAGATTTATTTCTGAAAGTTGTCTCCCCTAGTTGTCTTGTGGTCATGGCTTGACGGACAATAGTTGCTCATAATATTTCTGTGTTACTTGTTAGCTCACCTGGTCCGAAGTGGCGTCAATTTCTTTAAACAACTTCTTCTTCTTAACCACTGGTTGGAATTAAACTAAATTTGACTGGAAGCATCCTTAGGTGGTGGGGATTCAAAATTGTACAAATGGTTGGGCTGACCCCCCAGGGGGTTGAGGGGTGGGGCCAAAAGGGGTCAATTTGGCCATATTGCTTTAAGCGACTTCTTCTCTGGAACTAAGATGTGGATATCAACCATATTTGACTGGAAGCATCCCTAGGTGGTGGTGATTAAAAATTGTACAAATGGTGGGGCTGACTCCCCAGGGGGCTTAGGGGCGGGGCCAAAAGGGGGCAATTTGACTATATTGCTACAAACGACTTCTTCTGTAGAACTGTGCACTGGATATCAATCATATTTGATCAAAAGCATTCCTGGGAGGCAGGGATTCAAAATTGTACAAATGGTGTGGCTGACCCCCCAGGAAGCTGAGGGGCAGGGCCAAAAATGGTATTTGGCTAAACTGCTTTAAGCGACTTCTTTTCTGGAACTAAGAAGTGGATATCAACCATATTTTACTGGAAGCATCCCTAGGTGGTGGAGATTCAAAATTGTACAAATGGTTGGGCTGACCCCCCGGGGGCTGAGGGGCGGGGCCAAAAGGGGGCAATTTGGTTATATTGCTATAAACGACTTCTTCTGCAGAACTATGCCATTTATATTGATCATATTTGGTCGGAAGTATTCATGGGAGGTGGGGATTCAAAATTGTACAAATAGTGGGGCTGACCCCCCCGGGCTAAGGGGTGGGGCCAATAAAATGTATTTAATAATAATATTACATTTCTTTGGTCAATTCAAAAATGACAAAACATCGGTTTGATTTAACTTTTTAATCTTTAAATGCGCATAACAATTTGTAGAAATATTGCTACCATGAAGCAAAGTGTGAGTAAAAAAGCCAAGGTTATAATTATATATAGATGTTTATATATGTAGGTGTCAATGTTGTATACCTGGAATGATGGATGGCTGTTTACTGTTGATCACACACAGATGTGTGACCTAGCTGTAGTCACGGTGCAGACAGCATTACCTTTATAGGTATACACTTATATACATTTACATAAAGAAATACCTTTGTCGTTATGTAAATGGTAAGTGTACGTCTGGCCTACTCAAATGGATCTTCTAGATTTGCTACCTTCTATAAGGGTTGACATTCCCTCTCATCATTTCCTTTCACTAGTTTATATTGAATATTTCTGCCATTTAAAAAGAGGTTTTATTCGGAAATGTTGGCCTATACGCGCTTAACTTCACTGTTTTACATTGTTTTCCTGCCGATTTTAAAGGAGTTATCGGATTTGGATAAACCCTACCTAGTGTATACTACTACCGAAGCCCCATTGCTCAAGTTCGATGCCCTCCTAAATTAGCAAATACGGAAGAACGGGTTATTTACGCTGTCTTATATTCTTGCGATTACGACCAAATATTAGAAAATTAAATTTAAATTAATGAATAAATTTTGCAATCTAGAGATGTGACGAAACTAAATTTTCGTGGTGTTTTAAAGTGTCGCAAATAGTCAAATGAACAGGTTTTATTACAAAATATATTAAACAATTCATCAACAGAACTAATAAAGGTGAGATGTTATCAAAACATCTTACCGTTTTAATCCAGGAATGTATGAATCGTCATAACCACGTGCGCGCTATTTCAAGCTGACATTACTGTTGTGATGTGTATTATCACGGCTCAGTTTTATACCTGTCATAATTTTCTGTGGATCATATTTTCGCGATCACATTATTGACCCGCGAAATCGCAAAAATTAATACCCGCGGTAATATCCTGATATACGATTTTAATTGCCGCTGTCTGATTTTTAAATCTCTTGCAATATTGCATTATGTTCCTTCGTCATTGTTAATTGAAACCGGCCATCCATTCTAAGTCAACATCATGTGAAAACATGAACTGTTGAAACATTACGATTTAAAAAATATTACTCTTCGGAAGCTGGCACAGCCGAAAACACCCTCTTTCGTGTAATTCTTCTTGTGTAGATTTTCAAATAAAAAAAAAGTCAAATAGATTTGTGTTTAAATTTTCAAACCGATTTATTTCTGGGTTAAAATAAATAGTGGCTCCCATTCTTCACAATTTACATTTCACATTTGGACTATATTCTCGCTATCTCTCATAAAGGCATGGCGTTATATAGAGTTACCGGGTAGTGCTGTTAGTTGTCTGGAGATTTGACAGGTGGCAATAAAATATCTTATTTTATATTTCTGTTGTACCGTCTGTGCGTAAAACCACGAAATAGGACTACTCGCGTTAACGACATTGAAATCACTGTAATGATTTCGGTAATTTTGGGGAACATATCGCTAATATGTCATAAAAAGTGTACAGCGGGTCATAGTTCATACTTCATCTCCTTGGTGTTTTTTTGAGAGATGATTTTTTTGCGCCTTTTTAGAGTTTAAGTGTTATGCAAATACTTTATTCCCCCCCCNTTGCCTGTAAGTCCATTTTAATACTTTGTCTTAATTTCCAACACGTCCGCTTATTGTTCGCGGCCATGTTGGGCCATTTACCGGGTCTACTACTCATTATACCGAACACGGTGGTCTTGGCTCTGTGTGGCCACTGACTATCGCACAACGGCCGCTTACTATAAATATATATAGTCATATAAGTAACAATACGTCATTCAATAAACATCGCACTGTTCCATTTCATATAAAATTATAAAGCGACGGTCCACTTCAACGGTCGGTCCTTAATTCAACATTTCACTAAAATCATCCTTTTTACACTACTGGATTTCCAGGACCAACTTGGAGCACTTTCTTTATTGTAACCGTTTCACTCTTTCGTCGCTGGCATGGGTCAATGGGTTAGACATTTGTTCAGATAACTGTCAGCTGCGAGCTCCCGAACCCGTACTGGTTAGTAAATGTCCAGGTGTGATGACCACTAGTATGTCATTGATGAGCTTTTCTGACCTAAATAATACATCACACCTTTGGCCCTGAAACTCGCGATGTCCCGGGCAGATTTATATCAGTCTACGGAACACCAAAATCCGCGTCCTTTTCCGCCCTCTTTTATGTCACAGAACACTGGTTTAATAAAAAGACACTGGTGTAATAAAAAGGAACTGGGGAATTTCTCAAATTCAAGCGAAGCAAACACAATTCTTTAAAAGCAGAAAGCACTCATGCGCTGACATCGTCAGTCTCTGTCTAATGCGCGTGGCTGGTAAGTCTATTAATACAGCATCACGAGAGTGATCTGTGTAAGCTTTGCATTTATATTTACGATAAGTACTTGAGGTACTTTGTAGCATATTATGTATGTATTTATGTAGGACAAAATCCCCAATGAAGATATTTATTTCTGGAGCAATAACTTGAAAGGTATGCCAACGGCGTTTTGATCGTCTGGTTTTGGTAGTTCCAAACGACCAACAGCTGGCTCTGTTATTGACTTTCCCAGTCGTTCAGTAAGTATGTTATCAGTCTGTCCCAGAGTGAGGTCTTCGGCACAATCCTTACGGCAGTGTTTTCCCGAGGTATGACACTTATGCTGTATTTACTACTGTCTGAAAACCCACCAGCCAGACTTTGCCGTGTTTTCTGAAGCGTCAAGAAGAACTTGTTATCATTGGCGTACGAGTTGTCGCTATCAATGGAAGATGTGCTCTGGAAATTGCCGTCGTCATCGAAAGTTGTTGCGGCCCTGACTGGAAACATCTTTAGTTGCGACAAATTTCTAGTTTTACCTTTGTAATACTGGGCTATCTGCTCTGATCTTGACAAAGGGCGGTAGTTGACAGAATGGCTGTTACCGCGCACAGGATCAACAAACGCCAGTCTTTGATTGGCTAAATTTGTTGTTAATCTCTGATTGGCAAATGAGTTAGCCAATCGCTGTCTCGCGAGTCTCGACGCTAACCTTTGATTGTATAAGTTTGAAGCCGCAGAATGAAGTCTTAATTTGTTAAGTTGATTCCGTAATGGCGGTTGTCTGCTTACATAGCGTTCGTCAAGGTTACCACCTAATTTTCTTGTGGTCGGTGTGGCATGCATATTACGCCATCGATACAAATAGGGAGCTGGAAATAAAAGAAAATAATTTAATTAGAACAACATCTATATCAGCAGCAAAACTAAGGATCAGATTGTGGTATTACACGCATGTATATTTGTACGTCTTTTTAAAAGCGATCTTTGTTATTTTATAATTGAAAAGTATTTGTTTTTAAAACGTCGGTAATGTAACGATGATTTTCATTGGTTAATAACCATTTGTTATCAGTTTTTCCCAATAAACTATCCAATCCGGTGTTGTTTTCGAAGTAATGGACGACATAATGGGCTTTGTCAAGGGAGGGTACACGCGTGCATGTACATATCTAATGTTTCCAAATACATCCGCGTTAAAGTTGCACAACGACTACTGGCTGAAGCTACCAGAAATTACGACACAGGCTGTGCCATCAGCTTGCTGATGAAATGCAAGTGAGGCACCATGTGACAATTGCTCGAAAGAGAAAATCGGCCAGCCTTATTTAAATATATTATCTAGGTCACGTTGCCTTATCGTTAATTGTTTTGTTAGATTTCTTTCACTCTTTATAAATTTCATCATAATGCACACACTTATATCTGTATTACTTCGAAATTAGGCAGCGTTGCAAATCCTGTGCTTGCAAGAAATTTATTGAACCTATATATGTATCAACAGAATACATCATATCTAACTTGTATCAACTATATCTTAAGTTTCAAACAGTACAACTAAACGCAAAACGAGTATATGTATTAGGTATTCTCGTAAACTAATTCATTGACAGGGAATATCTAGGAGGAGATAGTGTGTCGTTTATCAATTTATTAGCTTAGTGGCGTATAAATCCAGATAATTATCATACAGCTAGAACGTTTACTTTATATAACATTAATAACTAATACTGTTGTTCACGTAGCACGTGACTGAAATAATGGCGATAGCTGGAAGCATGCTAAGATAGATGTTCTATGATACTGCATTTGCTTTCGTCTGTCATCCACTATAGACATAACACTCCTTTACTGCATACATTTACTTTGGCACTTCAAGGCACTCAGCATATTAACGTCAATCTTACCATTACTCAACGTACTTCACTGATACTTCATGTGAGGGCGTTATATTTCACATTTATCATATGCATACGAACCCTCAGTATTTGAAGAATGAATGTGTCGGAACTTAGCGAGAAAGTGCCGACGGTTCCCAATTGGATACTCGTTTGTAAGGTAATTGCTAGGGCAGGCCTACTAGCTTGAATAATAAACGTCGGTCACGAGCAGTTATTAATCGGGTAATTTACGTCAACTGTAAATAATGTAGGATTTGGGACGTATTTTTGGTTGAGTACTGTTTGAAGTTTGAAAATAATGACATATGTAGGCTTGTGGACTGTGTGTAATAGTCAAAGGGTTTGTCGGTATTGCGTCGGCTGTGGAAAGTTATACGTCTGAGAATACCAACTGCGGGTAATTCAATATTGGCCACGCCCGAGAACTGTCATTGACTAAGGATTTTATTGTCAGCTCCAGCCACTTACACGCTTAAGACCGTGTTGACTATTGTTGACGTATTACTTCGGTAGGGAGCAGTGACATGATCCTTAACTTTAAATATTACATCGGCTGTGGACAGTTCCATAATCAATAATTTCCGTCAACTATAGCAAACTCGAAAACTTATGTCGAATGTAAGACAATAGCAAACTCGGTATCTTTTTTTTTTGTATTATTTTTTGTATTTTTTTTCCCGAATTTATAACAATGCAAATATATCATACATAAACATTATTCCTTTCACACATTACAATTCATTCAGTAAATACTCATTTATAATAAATTGCATATTTCCAGGTATAATTAATTATGTTTATGTATAATTAAATTACAGCTAAATTATGTCCGTTATATAAAAGCATTGTTTAGAATTGATAGAAAAGAGGTTAGAGCAGGTCCTAGAGGTATAGAAGGGAAAGTAAGACTAAGAAAGAGAGAGAAAAAAATGGGGGGGG